ACATATACTCTCTGCCATATTGAATTTTCTGTGTTTTCGATTTTACAGAAGTTTCCATAAATAAGGTAACTTTGTCTAGTTAGAAAGAAAGAAAGATGAAAGGAATGTAATAAAGCACTACTTTATGTAATCTGTCCTTGACTAAGATGAGGTGTACTGAATTTTAATAGAGCCCTGATTCATCAAATCTCAAACAGAATTAAAGTATGGACTGGATCCTAATAACAACATGCTTTATACCCATGAAAGATAAATTAAAGGATGCAAAACTGCTATTGACAAACATTGATTATATGTACTTTGAAAGACTTTGAAGTTGTGCCAGATGCATCTTGTCAGCCTCCAAAGTTTTATTTGAAATCTCATTGCATAAGGCTTTTACTTTTTAATTATTTTTTCTCAAAGTCTTTGATCAAGTGAAATGTAGATCATATTTGGGTAATGCCACTTCCTATACTTTTTATTAAGATATGCCCTTGTGCATCACTTCAGCTACATCTTTGCAAAAGTTAGATACTTCTTAATAAATTTTATCTGTTATGCTGAAGTCTATTTATTTTTTAATATAGCTTCTCAGATCTGTGGGCCAAATCACAAGCACAGGTTTTGTATCTATTTTTATATCTAGGCTGTGTTTGGCTGTCATAAATCAGCTACAACTTAGATTTGGTGGTTGATAAGCCTGATCCAGAATAATCTGAGAGTAAACTATGCCTACCATCTTAATATACCACCACAGATAGGCAAATCACCATAAAGAATTTAATGCACTTAGTTAAAAAAATCTTTAAAATATCTTATGCAAATACATTAACTATTAACTATTTAGTAGCTCAATTAACTATTAAGCTGATTTTAAATTTCTCTTTAATTTTAAGGTAGATAGCTACATTAACAGAAAGAAGCTGGAAAATGCCATCTATGATTTATCACACACATCCACACCATCTCTATTTTGACTTTGAAGAATAGGTAACAACTAAATTAATTTTTGAAATAGCATATCCCACCCAAGCCTATCTAAGACCATCTGCTTGCTTTCTCTTTTCCCACTGTCTCTTACAATTTCATTTCCCTAATTTTTTAGCATTAGTTGTTGCTGTTGTGTGCCTTCAACTTATTCCCAACTAGGGCAACCCTAAGGCAAGCCTATTAGATTTTCTGGAGCTGAGACTCTGTGACTTGCCCAAGGTCACCGAGTGGGTTTCCATCACCAAGCAGGGAATCCAACCCTGGTCTCCAGAGTTGTAGTCTAACACTCAAACCACTACACCACAACGGATCTTATTTTTAGTGTACTAATTCTACATGGGATCCTACCAAATGTCCCAGGATAAAAAAAAACAAACTTCAAAACTGAATTTTCCTGGGACAGATAATGTGTCAGATGTAGAACACAGAAACTGCCACTTTCCAATCTGTCCATATTATTTGTTGGTTCAAGACCTTTTAACTTGGGAATTAGCTAAACTATCATATTGCAGTCCTGAACAAAAGTAAAGATTGTGATATCTTTTTGCATTTATGTAGAAACCAGCTGGGAAATGTAAAATTTGTTGGTCTCTCATTTAATTATTAACTCTTATTTAATTAACACCTTAAACCAATCAATTATGTTAAAAATGAATTTGATTAAGTTGCCCCTTTTCATTAGACATTTTACAACTAAATTGATAACTTAATTGATTTGAATTAGCTCCTGTAGCTCACTACAGCTGCTGCATCTTTGGCAAAATGTCTATGGTTCAAATGTGTAGCCAGTTGTTTGTGAATGTAACTTACAGAACAGTTCAGAGAGATAGACAGGGCCATATTTCAGTTTACATCCAGTGGCTAAGAAAGCTTAAAGAGAAAAAAAACCCCAGTGACTTCAGTCCTTATGTGTGTGATTTGTTCAATTTAATAGGCACTAGCTATTGGACTACAGCAGTTCCTACAGAAATGCAGTGAATTTTAATGAGATTTGAATGACAAAACTGCTAAGGTGCCTTTGAAAATATCTGCTACTGCACTGGAAAAAAAATTCTTTCTGATCACAGAGTATCTTTTCACTTATGATTCCAGGTAACACTTACAGCAGATTTTGGTGCAACGGCAAATAACAACAATATGTATTGCACACACAAACAGAGTAACAATATATACAGTTTCTTTAGAAATGCATAAACAATAGGGAATTAATTCTTCACTAATTTCATTCCCTAAAAAAGTGATGAGTAATTTTGGAAATCTTGCTGTGAAAATGTTTTCAAAAACTGCACCATTTAAAAAAACAAAAACATTTCACATCTTTTTTGTGCAGAAATGCTGAAAAATGATGTTTTCTGTGCATAAAATATTGTAATTGGAACTTCTGTGCAAAATTCATACTTTTTGCATAGAAAACAGCATGTGTGATATTTGTGCAAAATAAAAATCCCAAACTTCAAAGATTATTATCACCCTAGGATTTTTCTTCTGTGTTTCCTGGCACATGGGATTTTTTTTAACCATTTAAAATATTTTTTAATATTCTTTTGATCCCTAACAAAGAAATGGTAATGAGTAAGTTATGTAAAGGCAGCATATATATGCATATGTATATCGCAAAAGTTCCTACAATAACTGATTTTGCAGGTCAATTTGTTCATCAGATTTGTAGTCACTTCATAATGACTAAATAGTTAGCTGTGTCTGTTTAGAAAACCAGTATGCAAATGCATCTGAAGAAGTAGGCTCAAGTCTATGCAAGCTCATGCTCCCAACCTCTATCTTTCAGCCACCCTCAAAAGTGCTGCAAGAACCCTTTGCATCTAAATAGTTAAGGATCCACTTGTACAGATTGTGGGATGGTGACTCTAGAACTGTAGGATCTGCAGGGAAGTTTGACCTTAGAGAGGGAGGTGTGCTGCAGAGGTCTTCTTTTGACAGGTAGTGGAAAGCCAACTGCCATGGCTGCTACACTTTTATTGCACTAATGGCAATATGGGTAAGAAGATGACATTTTGTGGCTGTGCAAGAGGTAGATCATGACAAATTCCAGACTCATGGGATCCATGGAATGGGAAACAGAAATAAAAAGCCTGAAACAAACAGACAAACAAACAAACAAACAAACAAACAAATTGGAAAGGTGGGATGCCCCTCACAGCTTATGAATGGGCTGATCAGGGAGGGTTCCATCACCATGTCTCCCCACAATCTCTTATAAAGGTTTTTCTTTCCATCAGATATGGGCATTGTACTGAAAAGAAGTGTTAAACTATATGAAATGTCTAATCCAAGTAAAACAGTTGAAATCGTAAAGACATTCATATTCAGATTGTTTGATACACTGACTTCAGACTTTGGCCACATGATGGGCTGTTACAATTCTCTCAAAAGGAAAAGAAGTGGGATCAAAAACTATGTTTGAAAATACTATGTTTTTTTTTAAAGAACGGGAATAGTCTTGTTTGGGTCCCTCTGAGAGATGAACTTAGCTCCGGCCCTGCTAAGAACATGGGGCCATACTGTGCTTATTGTACATTGCATGCATCTGATAAAATGACAGGAAGATGGGACAGTAGTGGAGTCTCTACAACCAAAATGGTATATTTGCTTTACTTCAGGTTCCCTGCTCGGTTTCTGCTCTGTGGAGGAACAGCTGCTTTCACTCCCACATCCTGATGCCTAAACTCTTGTATTATTATCACTTATTTCTTCATCATTGTGGAAATCAATATGACAATGTGAATGAACCCAGTTAATTCTCTCAGAAATGATGGGCAGGATTAGGCCTCCATTTCATAACACCCTCAAAGGATTGCTCAGTTCCACAGAATCAGAAGCCAGAGAAGGAGCTAAAAGAAACATCAATAAAAAAAGAAACTGTGAGGAAACCTAATATATCACAGACCACTATGAATTAAACAACATCCTAGAAATCTTCACACAATAATTGATTTGCTCATTTGTACTTCTTTCTATTCTTTAATCTTTCAGCAGGGCTTCTCTCTTCCCTCCTTGCTTTTTAAATATTCTGTGTTCATCTGTTGACTACAATATTGTTTCTGATCTCTCCCCATTCCATCAGTCATTTGTACACAGAGACTATCCCACATGCTCTGGTCTCCTTTTCTAATGACTAAAGAGGCATACAAAAAAACTAATCACCTAGACTGAGCAATCCGTATTGTTGTAAGTCTCTCTTTGATTTATTAAACATCTCTGCATAAACTGTTCTTTTCCGAGTACCTGAATGAAAAGACTATGAGAATGTGCCACTGTGTTTGCTTAAGATCTAGGGACTCAGCTGAAAAAAGGAGGATTGTATGAGAGGAAATGTCTCCTAAATGTACATTGTCAAAAACATTCCTTGAACAAAATGGCTGCTGGGATTTACACACACTCTTTTTATATGATCTGTCAGATGAGAAGCAAGATTGTTCACTTCCATATCAAACTGATATTAGATTTAGATATGGGCCAGGAACCATTTGTGTGTGTATATGTTGAGTGTCGTCAAGTAGTTTCTGACTTATGCTGACCCTAAGGTGACCCTATTACAGTTTGGTTTTGTAAGTTTCTTCAGAAGGGGTTTGCCATTGTCATCCTCTTAGGCTGAGAGCATGTGACTTGCCCAAGGTCACTCAGTGGGTTTTCCTGTTTGAACAGGGATTCAAACCATACCTTCAGAGTCATTGTCCAGTGTTCAAACTACTACACCACATTGCCCCTTAAAAGTTTGCCTAAAGTGTGCCTATGATGCACAGGTAGCCAATCTTCTGTATCCTCTTGCCAGTGTAGTTGTGCCTGGCATTACTATCACATCCCTTTAGTGGATAAGGCCGACTCAACCATTATACAGAATAAAGCAATCCTTTCAAGCAACAGATGTTGGGAACCAGCAGCACAGTCCTTCCAGTCTTTCCTCTTGGATTCCATGGCTGTTTCCTTCTGCTGAAGAATAGAGCTGTGCATTTCCTAGACTTTGAGCCAGAAAGTCCAGCCAGTTTACTAACATGGGATTGGTAGGGAGTATCCGTCATATTACCAGTTTGAATAGCTTTAAAAAAGTTGCAAAGACGGATCTCTTCGGGCAGACCTTTCCTGATTAGATCTCCTGGCCTTAAGAGCTTGTCCATTCCTTCTCCTACTCTCTGCCACATTTGTGGCTGGCTGTTCACTCTGCCATTGTGATTATCTTAGTTGTTCATTGTTTTATTGTTTGTTGTTATTTTAACTTTATGTTGTTTAATACTATTTTAAGGGGTGAGTGGGTTTTGGGATTGTATATTTGCGCTGTTTTATTGTTGTAAGCCACCCTGATTGCATCTGCAGAGGGGCGGGATATAAATAAATAAATAAATAAATAAATAAATTGTTGTTGTTGGGAGTATTAACTTGTTCTGTGCCTCAGGCAGCAAAATATCTTGGGCCAACGTTGTTTTTGACTATTGAAGAAGTGTTGGAAGGGAGAAAAGGGTAGTAGTGATCTTCAGTACATTGTTGTAGTTTTTGGGTTATATAGCAAAGTGCTGCACAGTACTCTTTTAGATTATTAAAATTAGGGGACAAAACATCCACCTAAACATTTACCTTTATTACCAAATGGCTCTGATTTCCATACAGAAACCTTGAGTTTGCTGTTTAAGTTTTCCTTGTCACCATGTTCATTCATGTAAAACATTGCAAAAAGTCCTCTGTCTAACACTTCTTTCCCCCCAGGGTATGATCAATTAATTGTGTGACAAGAAAGAATACTATTATTCATTGCACATACAGCAGCAACATCTAGTCTTTTGATCAATTAGATTAGCAGATTTAAAACCCTTTGATCAGTTTAAAATTGCCCCAGTTAATTAGGACCAATGATGGGCTGGATCCATACTTAGAGTAGTCCCATTAGAGTCAATGGAATTTACATTAGTGGTACTTATGTTTTGTATCAGATATAGTTAATTTATGATTAACTTAAAACTTATTGATTTCATTGGATCTGCTCAAACTCTTACGGCCTAGCTCCAGTCCAAAATCTTTACATTCTTACATTTTATATTTACTGAAAGCTTATAGAAGTTCTTTGTTCACTGCAGAGAATGAATAAACACATAAAAATAGCACAATAAAAATCAATTAAAAATCCAGTCCAGCACAAAACCCCATATAAAGACATGCAACATAGTAAAATATAGTAAAACATGTATTGGTAACAGGTAATATTCTAGAAGAAGACCTAATTCTCTCTCATAAAAGGGCTTCTGCTTCTACTGGTTGGATTCAGGAATGTGTTATAAAAAATGAATAAGTGTTTTCTCTCAA